GTTCCAGACGGCCGATTCAGGAGGAGGACGCAATGGTGCGGTGGTTGTCGGTGGGTATCCTCCTTCCCTCTCCTCCCCTTGTCCCTCCACTAGAGGATGGGGCTATATATGATATGCCTGTTCCTTTTCCGTTTTGATTTTTCCATTATGCCGCGTGTTGGCACTATTGTCCAGATGTTGTCCAGTAGTTAACCTTGCTGTCTGCTTCACCGTGGTCAAGACTGTTGACACCACGGGTGAACTCACTCATCGAGCGATTGTGAGCCAGAGAAGTCCGATGTGCGTTAGTTGTCGTCCACAATGGGGACAGCTAAACCTAGAACGACGTTCTGGGCATGTGGAAGCATGCCTGTTTTGACGTAGTAGGTTTAGCGAGTGGGCGCGCATTCCTTTCCATATTTGGCTCAAGCCCAAAAAGCATCTCGGTGGATAGCTGCTGCCACAGCGTGCCGTGTCGGGATTCTCGTCGCGGGGCCCGAGACTGGCTTCTGGAGGCCCGGATATTTGGCATCGTTCGGACGCGTGCATTTTCTCTCGGCGAGGATCATCAAGGAGCATGTTGGATCATGTAGCAAAACAATCACGCACGATACCGAAACATGCATGAGGAATGGACGTCCGAGCGATGGCAGCAATCGAACGCGCTTGAAGGCCTCTGGAGACCGCTAGAGGCCTCTGGAGGAGGGGACTGGAGCCTTCTAGGTGGCGGGTGCTTTCTCCTCGGCTTCTAGGAGAGAGCGCCCCTCGCAGCCTGTTTCTTCCCAGGGGTATCAACGTGGCCATCGCGTGCCATCCGACGATGTGTGCGTAAGAGCGACCCTTCCTTGCAGTGTATCTTGGCGTGGTGCGGCTTCCCGAAGAAGCAAGCCAGAGCCAGAGCGAGCAGGCCGAGCTGCTGCAGCTCGCGCGGCGATCGGAAATCTGCGCATCGAAGGTCACCTTTGCCCAGGGTCACTCCTTACGTGTACGGTTGGTTCGCTTCGTGTCGTTCCGGTGGCGAGCCCGGCGCGGGCGTTCAAGGTCGAATTTCGCTAGTGGACCAGAATCGGCCCATGTGCATCGATCGGGCGATCGGAAAGCCGCCAGTCATTCAAGGTTGAGGGGTCCACGCGGTGTCAGAAACCAGCGCCGAAGCCGCCACGACGCAAACCCGCCATATTCGAGGCAGGGGCGAAGGTCCTTGGCCGCTGAGAGTCGCAGAAGTCTCGACCAGCGCTTTTCCCGACACTCCCGCGTTGGTGGGCCCCCGTTTTCTCTCTCGCGTGCTCCGCGAGTCACCATCCCCTCCCCTCCTCTCATTCTCCCCCAGCCCCCCTGCTTCCTCCGTCCATGTACGAATCATTCTTCCGTCGCACCCCGAATTGTGTCGGAGGGGCGGGCCGGGCGTTTCGCTTGAGATCTCGTCACTATTTATGATTTTTAATCTGACAAGATGCAATAGCTTCACGATTGGAGGGCGGGTCGTTTTCAAAATTTAGTTATCGCCAAAGCGTTGCGCACATTCGTTTTCAAAGTTTGCAGGAGTTTCACAAATGCAGGGCGGTGCTTATTCGAATTGTGGCTCTCGCGTCAGCGCCGCGCACACTCAATTTAAAAGTTTGCAGGGGTTTCACGGGTGGAGGGCGGGTTGTTTTCTTCATGTGGTTCTCGCTTTCGGAATGGAACGCGGTTCTTTTTCAAAATGTGGTTCTCGCCTCAGCGCCGCGCGCATTCGTTGTAGAAGTATTCAAGAGCTTCACGGGTTGAGGGCGTCCGTTTTCGAATGTGGCTTTCGCTTGACGCCCCTCACATTGTATTCAAAAGCATGATACAGTTTCACTGATGGAGGGCGGCTCTTGTTAAATATGTGGTTTTCGCCTTGGCGCCGCGCGCAATCGTCTCGAAAGTGTGCACGAGTTCCGCGGATCCTTACGGTTGACGTCCCAGGAATGGTGTTTTGGCACGAAATAGGATTGCCAGGGCGCATCAGTCACGTTGATTCGCGGCGCTGCAATCCCAGGAATGGTGTTCTGGCACGATGCAGGTTCGTCAGGACGCAACAGTAAAGTTGATTCGCGGTGTTGGGTTCAAGGAGTTGCTTTTGGCACGATTGCTGATGTTCAGACGTTTGTCTTCCAGCGGGGCACTTCCAGCAGTAATTATTGTAGGGGCCTGCGGAGAAGGAACTTTGAAGGCGGGTTGATTGCAACATCGTTAATGTGTCTCGGGCTTGCACTGGTCCTCTCCATACCTTTCCCTTCCGGATAACGCCTCCCTGTCGTACTGCGGGACGTTTCGGTAGGGCGGGCCGGGCGTTCCGCCTAAGATACCCTTACCTTCTTTAAGTATGAAATGTATTTGTTCTACAGCTTCACGGATGGAAGGCGGGTCGTTTTCAAAATGTGGTTCTCAAATGTAGTTGTCGCCTGGGTATCGCGCACACTCGTCTTACAAGTTAGCATGAGTTCCATGGATGGATGGCGATTATTTGTCAAAGTGTGCTTCGCGCAGATTCGTCTTATAATTGTGCGACAGTTTGACGGATGAAGGGTTGGTCATTTTCAAAATATGTCTCACGCCCCAGCGCCGCGTGAATTCGTTTAAATGGTGGCAAAAGTTTCACGGATGCATGACGCGTGGTTTTTTCCATGTGGTTCTCGCCTCAGCGGTTTGCACATTCGTCTTGACAATGTGCAAGGGTTTCGCGGATGCAGGGCGGGCCGTTTTCTCCATGTGATTCTCGCCCCACCGCAGCGCGCATTCGATTTAACAGTTCGCACGAGCTTCACGGATGGAGGGCGACTTGTTTTCAAAATGTGGTTTTTGCCACAGCGCCGCGCACATTCGTTCTAAAAGGTTGCAAGATGGAAACGGATTGAGGGCGTTTTTTCAAAATGAGGTTCTCGCCACAACCCCATGCACATTCGTCTTCAAAGTTTGCAATATCTTGGTGGATGCCTGGCGGATCGTTTTCAACATATGGTTCTCGCCTCAGCGCCGCGTACATTCGTTTTCAAAGTTCGCAAGGTCTTCACGGAGGAGGGCGGCTCATTTGAAGAACGTGTCTCTCGGCCCAGCGCCGCGCGCGTTCGTCTTCATAGTTTGCAGGAGCTTCACGGATGGAGGGCGGCTTGTTTTCAAAATGTGGCTCTCGCTGCAGCACCGCGCATTTTTGTTTTCAGAATTTAGAACTCTTCAGCCGATTAGTATGGTTGACGTCGCAGAGATGGTGCTCGGGCGCGATTTTGAGTTGCCAGGGCGCAACAGTGACGTTGATTCGCGGTGTTGAAGTCCTAGGAATGGTCTTCTGGCGCGATGTAGGATCGTTGAAGTCAAACGAGTTGTTTTCTGGCATGGTTGGGGATTCTCAGAAGATTGTTTTCCAATGGGGCACTTCCAGCAGTGGAAAGAAAATATTTGCAGGGACCTATGAAGAAGGAACTTGGAGGGTGGGTGTGTTATAGCATCATTGACGCGCCGTGGGTTTGCTCTGGCCCTCCTCCTCCTCTTCCTCCTCCTCCACCATCGAAGGAGAACACACAATAATAAACATAAGACATAAGCTTTCGGAATTTCGTGTGGATTTATTAGATCGACACTCGACAGGTCGCTCTTGGCGGTGTGTCTGGCGCCGCCCGTGGCGCGCTCCACGCACCAGGGAGGGGGGGGGGCCAGCGCAGATCCAAGACATTTGCGCGGACCTCCGAAAATGTATGCTTATGCTGTTTGTTGTCCCTCGACCCTCCTCCCGCCAGGATCATCGACCTGACCGTCGCGTACCACTGCTGGCTCTTCTCGGCGGCGCGCCCAGGGCGAAGTGAGAAGCTGTCCCTGGCTTCGGAGAAATAGCCTTCTGAGAAGGCTCGACGGGCTCGACGCCTCTGCCTTCTCTGTGAGATCCGACCTAGCGAAAAACTATAACCTCGTTGGACATCACGGCCAGAGCCCCAGACCCCATTTTTCTGCGCCGTGTTTCGAGCCACATCAGTCTGTGAGGGCCCCTGGGGCCCGCAAGTGCGCGAAAAAACGTCCAGCGAGAGAATAATGAGACGCCAGGATCTCATGGGATCGCACCGGCTCGCCGATGACTCTTCGATAGAGTGGCGACTTCGACCGCGCCGCGCCGCAGAAGCATCGCGGGTGATGGGGCGCGGTTCTCTCTAGCCCCATCCGCTCCAGCCCAATCTGGGCGGCCTGGATTGCAAGGAGTCGTCGCTCTGGGAACGGAGCCCTTCTTCGTCGAGGGCTCTTCCTCTCCTCTGGCCTGCTGCGGCCTCTTTCTCCCTGGGCCCCGGCCCGCGTTGCCCGCCAGCAGGTGAGGAGCCGTCCCTCTGCCAACAGCAGCGGGCCGCGTCGCTTACGCTGCCTCCGAGCGCCAGCGTGGCTGTACCAAGCAGACGTGCCGTCCTCCCTCCCAGACATACCCGCGTCGCGAAAAACCAAGACGGGAGGTTTTGCATCATTTTCTGTCTCCAGGGGCCCTCGCCGGGCCCTGGGACCATCAAATTTCGGCACGCGACGAAAAACGGTCTGGGGAATGGTTCGGGATTTTTGTTGATCCCGAGCCGAAAATTTCAAGACGTCGCATGTCCGGGCTCAGGTCTGTCCTGTCCCTTCTCGTGCTGCCGGACAAACAGTATGCTTCGCCCCAGCTACTAGAGCGCGTGAGCGGATTGCCTCTGCCGCGCAGCGACGGAAAACGTCTGGGCTCAGGCGGAGTCAGGACAGGGACAATTTCAGACCAGGACAAGTCGGGGATTTCTGAGATCAGGCGGCTCTTGAGGACGAATCGGGGCGCCGCGGCCTTCTCAGAGCGTCGAACGCTGTGAGAAGGCAGGCGCCGCCGCCTCTGTCGGGTGTTGCTAGAAGTGCCCATGGCCCAAGGTGCGCCCGGGAGTTCTAGGGCGGCCCCCACGGCGTGCAGAGCGCCCCGCACGAGGTCCAGAAGGCCCCAGGTGCTCCAATCTGGGGCGGAGAGCTGGCGGCACCTTGGGCCAGAGGCACCTTTAGCAACTCCCGAGCCTTCCCCCCCGGGGCGTGCCGCCGATCCTCACCGCCTACCTGGTGCCGCAGGACATGCCCGAGGGCCCCAGCGGCGAGGGTGCCGCCGCGCGGGCGGCGCTCAACGACAGGCTCGGCAGGCCGGCGGGCGCCCCGCTGACGCCCGCGCAGGCGCCGCCCGTCCTCACTGCCGGGAGAAGCGGCAGGGGTTGCGGTAGGTTCACGCGGCGCTGGCGCGTTGGCGACGCTGGCGAAGGCGATCAAGGTTGAATTCTGATCATGATAGAAGGAAGCAGAAGCCCGAGGGACACCGCAATGCCACAGGACCTGGCGGAGTTCAACCTTGGCCGATCGATCGGGGCCGCGATCGATTCAATGTTGAACGATCGACGCGGTGTCAAAAACCTTGGCGCCCGCTGGCGCTGGACAAACCTACCCTATTATGAGCTTAAATTCCGAATCGGCGCTGGTATATCCTTGGCAGAAAGCTGGCCTGATCTGGCTCATTCCCGCTCAGTTCTCTTTCACCCGGCTGAATGCAGCTAACTCCCGCTCAATTTGGCGTTTTACCGAATCCAATCCAGCCCAATCCGGCTCGGTGGCCCTCGATCGGTCTCAACAGGACCGATCGAGGGGCCACCGAGCCGGACCTTCCAGAAGTTGCCTCCGAGCAGGGGTCGGCCAGGGCCCCAGGCCCAGACATGCCTGCGTCGTGGCCAAATCACGACGGGAGGACTTCGGCCGTTCTCGGCCTCGGGGGGCCCTCGCCGGGCCCCCAGGACTGTCACAAAACGGCACGGGATGAAACGCCTGCAGTGGGGCAAGGGGTCAGGAGTTCCGGCGGGCGCATAATTAAACAAGTCAAGACTTTGGATTCGGGGACGTCTCGAGGTTCGAGATGTTCGAGCGTATTCGTTGGTTTCTCGGCGGTTCCCCAGCCTCGGGGTGTTTTTCAGCAGCTGCGCCTCGTCGAGGGCGTTCTGAGGTTGCTCGCTCCGTCCCAAATGGCCGCCCGAGGGTCGGACCACATTTGACTTCATCTGGAAGGCCTCCAGCCAGGGAGGTGAGCGCATCGACCCCCAATCGCCCACTGATCCCTCCTGGGGGGGATTGATGGCTCACCCTGCCAGAACCGTTCGGTTCTGTTTTCGGGGGCCGATCGCTGATGTATCGGCGACGTATCGCCGATCTCAGGTCAATGTTCCCCCCGAGCTGCCCCCCTCCCATCCTCCCCTCTCCCCGTCGTCGAGCTACATCTCTGGTGATGGTGCGTGTGTGTGTCTCCTTGCGATGAGATCGAGGGCCCAGGTTTTGGTTTTCTGTCTCTGTTCGTCCTCCTCATGCCCCTGGGAGGCTCCTCGTGGTCACGGCTTGACCCGCCTGGGGAATTCTAATTTGTATCATCGCGAACAGAGGAACCCCTAACCTTATTAACACGATGAAGACGTGGCCTCATTTGGGGCCCCGTCTTCGCATTAGGGATAATATATCTGGGCGGATTGGTCTGATACATCTGCAGAAAAAAAAGGTCCCTATTCCTAATGCTTCTGGCCTTCCTAACGTACGTCCCCTCCCAAAGGGGTATGGTTTTTTTCACTGCAAAGCATAGGACGGACCGCGGGTTGAGTCTGAGGGTCGTATGTCGACCTCTGGGCCCAGACCATTGCCGCTTTGCCTAAGCAGATGTGATGTTTTCGGTTGTCCTCGGCCTGTGATTTGTCGTCTTCGGGTTCCAGGGCCATCAAAAAACGCCAGACGAGAAGTGGATCCTGGGACTGGGGGCCTCCAGAGGACCTCTGGAAACGTTTGGGACCTCTAGAGACCTCCGCGAAACTCCAGTCACTTCTGGCCCTCCCCGCTGCCTCTCTCCGAATCCTGTTTCTCCTCCGCCTCCCACACTGCTCAACCTCCTCATAGTAACTCCTGCTCATGCTGCTCTCACTCTTCCTTCTCGTGCCTCTCCTCACCCTCCTGCTCATTCTGCTGCTGGTGCTTATCCTCCTCTTCTTTTCTTCCTCATCACCTTTTTTCCTGTGTCCTCTTATTTCCTCCCAGTGCTCCCGTCTCGTCTTCTTCTCATGGGCTCCATCTTATGTGTTCTCCTCCTGCTCCCGCCCGTCGTCCTCCCCCCCCAATACGCGCTCATCCTGCTCATCTTGCCGTTCACCCCCCATCCCCCTCTCCGTGTCCACGACTCATGTGTGCGATTTCGATCTGTTTTCGGGTCACGCCTCGGGTCGCTGGCGGCCATTCAGGACTATCTGGCCACCCCCGGAACGCCCTCGGCGAGGAGCAGTTGCAGGAATGCATCCCGAGTCTGAAACATTTTGGCGGGAATTGATAAAAAATGTCCGACAACCTCGGGCCTCGAAGTTCGAACTCCCAGGTTCAGGTTCTTCTGTCCTGGGAGATAAACCAGCTCCCGCACCTCACCGTGTTTCAGCGCAAGGACATGGACCAGTGCCTGCTCGTCGCCGTGACGCGCGAGCTCGCGGACTGCGAGCAGTTGCTGCGCTCGCCGATCCCCGTGGCGTACACGCGTTCCCTGCTGCGCTTCCTGTGGCTCTGGCTAACGCTGCTGCCCTTCGCGCTCATCCTCGCACGGGCGCAAAGTGGGCCACATGTCAGAGGAGGAGCAGGTACCGATGCCGCTGCCCTTGCTTCATTTTCGCCTTTCGGGCCCTTTGGGAGGCCCTCGTCGCCACGGCTGGATTCGCCTTAAAATCCTGGTCACCGCGCACCTTGGGAGAGATCGGTACCGCTTCGTTCCCCTCACAACGCCTCCGCGTTGCAACGCAGCGTCTGCGTGTCGCAGGAGGCAGTCGCCCCCTCTCCTGCGGCCCCCTGTCGCCCGTTCGAACCGTCAAGACGTTTACCGATTTCAACAAGGAAACGTTTTGGGAGGGGCAGCCGCTTTTCATCGTGCCCATCACCGTTGGCTTCATCGCGCTGGTGTTCCTTAGTCTCGAGGACATCGCCGTCCAGATCGAGGAGCCCTTCGTGGTGAACAGACGGCAGCTGCAGAGATTGGCCACCTGGTTCAGGCAAGACGCCGATGGCATGCGGGACGTGGTTCGCGCTCTGGAGGCTGCGCCCGCCTCGCAGCACAGCGCCGACCATGCCGACGCGCATCCTGAGACCAACCCGGAATGTTGAGAAACGTGGTTCGTCGCGTTTTCCATCCGAACCAATCAGCGGAGAATTGCATATCCGTACCGATACAATCCCTGCGTCTTCGCCCTTTGGGTGTATTTTAGAGAGCTCTCGTCGCCACGGCTGGATTTGATCGGGGTCCTTGGTCAGAGCGCACCCCAAGAGAGGTGCGGGGAGTTGCGGTAGTGGAATTTGTTTCTCTGTTCGATCATCATCCCCGCCCCTTGTCCTTTCCACGCCGCTTGGCCCTCCCCTCTGTCCACTTTTCGATTCCTCTGTATAGCGCGCGGTCAGGCACTCCACAAACAATTTCATCGTCAAGCGCTCTCTTTCGACCTCCTCCTGCTCCTCCCGCGGCTCCTCTTCCTTATCCACACCTCTTTACCTTTAAAGAGCTATTTCTCCTCGCATCGCTCGACATGTCGGCAGGGCAGGCTGACAGTTTCGTCTGTGATTGCCTCACCCCTTGTGATCACGAAGTTTGATATTTCCAACAGCTTCACGCCAGGAGGCCCAGTTGTTTCAACAGGCGCCTCTCGTTTGGAACCTTCTCAAGTCAACACGGCTGGCACGCGAATTACCACCACAGGTGGGTCTCGCTTCAGCGCCCCGAACATTCGTCTCGAAAGTTTCCAATGCACTTGTGGCGCACGTGCTTGTTGAAAGCGTGATTCTCGCTTTAGCATTGCTCACGTTCGCCGTCAAGTATGGGCGGTGGCCCGTTTTCAAAATTTTACGGCGGCCCCTTTTCAAACTAGGCGTCTCGCTTAATGCGCCCTCTGCATAAGCGACGCCAATGTGTTAGAGATATCGAATGGCCTTCGGCCCATCCTGCCACCGTGTCTGAGCTTTGTGGGTCAGAGTCCTCAGGGATGCTTCTTGGTGTCTCTTCGGAGCGCTCTCGGAGGCCTCTGTGGGACGGGTCTTTGGCCTCTTGTGGGCAGTTTTGGGGCCTCATGGGGGCTTCTTGGAGGCCTCTTGGGGGCCTGTGGGGGCCTCCTAGGGGCTTCTTCTGGGCCTCTTGGGGCTCTTGTGGGCCTTGTGGGGGCCTCATGAGGGCCTTTCGGAGGGAGGGCTCGACATGTTCGTTGATGGCCCTTGTCTGGGCCCCCTGTTGGAGCCGTCTTGGGGCCCTTCGGCCGTCTTGGAGGCCTCTTAGGTCGCCTTGGGGCCCTCTTGGGTCTCTTCGGCGCCTTCTTTGGGGTCTCCCGGGCGATCTTGGCGGCATCTTGGGCCGTCCTGGAGCGTCGGGAAGCCGGAAAGGCGAAAATTCAAACATATTTCAACAGCCGATACCGAGGGAAAATCAATGTGTTTTGCTTCTGGAGGTCCTTGCGGGAGGCCTCCTGAAGGCCTTTCGGGCGTCTTGTGTGCATCTTGGGCCGTCCTTGGAGCATATTGGGCGTTTTCGATCGGGCTTCCTGGCCTCTATTGAGGCCCACTTGACACAGAACAAGTCACGCGACAAGCCGCGACGCGCCTCAGGGGCCACATGAAGCGTCTCAGGGGCCACGCGGGGAGCCCTTACGTCAAGAATCCTCAGGATTGGGGATGGGGGCTCCAGGCGGTCGAACAAGGGGGCTGAGGGCACGCCCACTCGTGCCTCAAGGGCACGGTGGCGGATATACTGTTGGAGAGGATTCCAGTACAGGCTCCGTAAAGCACATTAGTCCTCCCAACTCCTCCTCCACCCTACCCTTCCCCTTCTCCCCCGTCGCGCCGACCAAGTCGATTTCCCGCCCCTTCTTGGGAAGGCTCCAAGACCCCCAAGGCGCCCCAAGACCCCAAAGGTCCCCCGAGGCGGTCCAGAAGCACCCCCAAAACACACAGGAGCCCTTTGCAGCCCTCACTAATTATGTCGATGTTGGTATTGCATTCTCCTTTTGCGAATGTACATGTGAGTACGAGCGTGTCCGCACGCAATCATATATACACAACCTTTGTGTGTGTATACATATGTGTAGTTAGGGTACACAAGCGAGTCTATACTTCTATGTGTTGGTTTCCATACACAGGTATACGATGTGTTTGTTTATATACATCGATGTAACCACATATGCATGCGAACATGTTTATGTATATATATATATACATACATACATACATACATACATACATACATACATACATACTGGGGTACAGGGTGGGGGCCTCGCGGAGGGGTGCCTCGACAGCGCATGGGGGCTCCGGGCCTCCGGACGCCGTCGAGACAGCCCCAGAGACGCCCCCGACGGGCCCAAGATGGGCCAAGAACCCCCCTCAGACGTGCTCACCACGAACCGGGAAGCCCCCTCTCGCCGATACCGCGGTCCAAAACGCCCAAGACGACCTCGAGGGACCACAAATTCGTACGCACCGAAGATGCTTTCTGAACGTCCTCCGAAGTCTTCAGGCTGCGCCAGGACGGCCCCGGGCAAGCTTCATTGGGCGCTCGAGGCCCCAGACGAGCACCCCGAGAAGCAAACGTCATTGATTGTGCGAGGGTTTTTCAGTGGTTTCGGTGCCCCTCTCTTTGTCGACATTCCGCGACGGCCCACAAGGCATCCGACACCGCCTCAAGACGGGCCCAGCGGCCCCCAGGAAGGCCCTGGGACGGCCTAGCAGGGCTCCATGACGTCCCCAGGGGCGCCCAAAACGGCCCACGAGGCCCTCAAGACAGCCTCAAGATGGCCTCCAGAGGGGGGGCATGATTTGGAATTTCGAATATTTCGCCTTACGAAGCTCCCCAGAGGCCTCCAGCAGGCGCCAGGACGGCCCCGGGCAGGCTCCAAAGGGCGCCCGAGGCACCAGACGAATGCCCGGAGAAGCAAGCGTCATTGATTTCGCTAGTGTTTTTCAATGGTTTCGGTGACCTGTCTTTCTCGACATTGTGGCCCTCACGACGGCCCACGAGGCCTCCGACACCGCCTCAGGACGGGCCCAGCGGCCCCCAAGAAGGCCCTGGGACGGCCTAGCAGGGTTCCATGACGCCCCCAGGGACGTCCAAGACAGCCTCAAGATGGCCTCCACAAGGGGGGCGTGGACCGAAACTGTTGACGCTTCGCGTATCCCCACCAGTCCCCTGGAGTTCGGGCCGCTTCGAGTGGTTCAGCCTTCGCAGCCGCGGCCGCTTTCCCGGGCCTGCCCCACCCTTCAGGCTGGTTTTCGACGTTCCTCGGCGGAGCAGCTCAGCTGGCTCGCACACGCCGTTGGCGCGACCTGGGCGTGGCGCCCCACTGGCGACTCGCCCATCGCTTACCACCCCTGGACGCCCAGACGGCATGTTGGACACGCAGCTCGCCGCTATCGTCCTCACGCTTCGTGTGAGTCTTGCCTCGCGGCACATCTTGAATTCTCCAGCATTTTGCTGGGGTGCAGCTAGACAGCCCACACTGGAGACGTGGACCCTTTCCTGGACATCTAACCCCCCTTCGCAGCTGGGGACTAGCCCGCAGGGCTGATCGGTCCCTGGACCACCTACTTTGCTGTCCCATGGCGACAGCCACTCTCCCACTGGTGACAGGGGGGCGGCGGCAGAAGCACCCCCCCCCTGCGCACCACCCACGTTTGCTGTCCAGCCGCGACAGCCACCCAACTCTCGGTGGCAGGGGGAAGTCGGCAGAAGCAGCCCCCCCCCTGCACGCCGCCCGGCCGGATGTCTCAGGCCCCAGTTTTGGCAGCTTCAGTTCCGGTGCGTATAGCTGCGACACCTCAGGACCCCCCCATGAGGCGCATCCCGCTGCTGGCTCACTCCAACTGGGACCTCAGCGGCGAGTAGCTGCGACCCCCACGATGTAAATGGTGCTTTGCGGCGGTCAGCTGCGCCCCCCTCTCTCCGCGCAGGCGCTCTCGGCGTGTAGCAGCTAGCGGTGTTAATGGTTCTTGCGGCGGTCAGCTGCACCCCCCTCCCCTCAGCGAAGGTGCTCTCGGCGAGTAGCAGCTACCCCGGGGCACACCAGGTGACTGGCCACGCCCCCCGGCTCGGCTGCAGGCTCTGGCCGCGGGGCGTGACGGTGCGTCCCTCGCCGCTCCCCTCTGGCCCGGTGGGTGTCCCCCACCCGTGCCCTCGGGGCTCGCCCGTGGCGGCCGTGATGGCCTGTGGCCCTCTCCTCCCAACTCGCCCCGCGGGTCGCGCTTCCCCTGGTCTTCTTGAGCATTCCAGCGTCAGTTCCACTCCGTGGGGAGAATCTGGTGTGGGACCACGCTTGAGTTCACGGGCAGCGCCACGCGGCAGTCTGGGGTGGCTGGCCACATCAGCCTCACTTCAGAAGGACCCTCCCTGGCAGGCAGCGCTGACGTATCCACCACCATGTGCCGACCCTCACCAAATGTCGGCGGTGCGGCATGCCGTCGGACCTCTTCGCAGCAGGATCCGGTGGCACAGTTGCGCCTTGGGGTGTCGTTACCGTTAGCTCCCATCAGCACTGGAGTTGGACTTCGGAGGGCCTGGCTCTGAGTGGTTCAGCCTCCACCTGCACAGCCTGTGGTTTCCCCCGCGCACCGTCTCGGCCGCCAGCGGGCCTATCCGCTTCAGGTGCCGGACTCGGTGCGCCTTGGGTTGCCGCTGGCCCCCCCCCGGCTGGGTGGAGGATTGTGAGGACAGAGCGCTGAGTTGTTCAGCCTTCCGCGCTCGCGCAGCCCTGTGTCTTCCTCCGCGCTCTGCCCGGTTACACCGTACAGCCGTTCGGCGTGGGCAGGTGGCCTGGAGTCTGGCGCCGAACCGGCGATTCACTCCGCTGTCTTCGCACACTCTCCTTGCAGCTCTTTTACTTCGGTTCACGCTGCTGCGCCTATGTGCGTTTGCTTGTGAATGTACTTCATTTTGTTCTGTGCGTGCGCAGCTGCGAGCTTGTTTTGCAGGTGCGAACTGGCTTGCCGACATTGGCGGCCGTGTTCGCAAATTCGCACCGTGCCGCATCCCCGACGCCGCTTCCGCTCCCTGACCGTTGCCTTGGAGCCGCCGGCCAAAAAAAAATACCCCCACCAGTCCCCTGGAGTTCGGGCCGCTTCGAGTGGTTCAGCCTTCGCAGCCGCGGCCGCTCTCCCGGGCCTGCCCCACACTCCAGGCTGGTTTTCGACGTCCCTCGGCGGAGCAGCTCAGCTGGCTCGCACACGCCGTTGGCGCGACCTGGGCTTGGCGCCCCACTGGCGACTCGCCCATCGCTTGCCGCCCTTGGACGCCCAGACGGCATGTTGGACACGCAGCTCGCCGCTATCGTCCTCGCGCTTCGTGTGGGTCTTGCCTCGCGGCACATTCTGAATTCTCCAGCATTTTGATGGGGTGCAAGTGCCCGAGCTTCCTGGGCGCACTCAGATCGCCGTTCCC